TTTGCCCAAGTACTGAAAGAGATGAAAAAATGTTAGAGGAAGAGATCTGCATAGGGGGTCAATATACTGGTAGAGTCTTGGTGTCAAAGAAGTGGCTGCAGGCAGCTGGGGGGGGATGGATTATTTATAGGCTGTTTGAGGAAAAAAATAGGTGGAAAAGTGGGTGTTTGCAGAGTTTGGTGAATTAAGTTTTCCTTCTGACTTGTTACCTTTCTGTGAGGACTTCACTAATATATAGGGTCAGAATTTGGCTTGGCTTCGAAGGCATGTATAGTTCTTCAACTTCATACGCTGTCAAATTCTCAGGCCTTGTATTCTTTCTTTTGTCCATGGCAAGATAAAAATGAGATCTGAGCTTTAGTATGGTTCTAATGCACTGTTGCAATATAAGTTTTGAATAGTAACGATGGCATGCTTCCATTCCTAAACTGTGTTGATAGGTGCCTTTGTGTAAGGAATGCAAAAGCTGTTGTAACCTTTTCAGAAACTGAGCAAACTTTTCCTTTGTGGGAAGCTTTTTGTCATGGTACTTTTCTCTGAAGAAACAATTTACATTATACTCTTGGTTCCTATAGTTAAAATCCCCTGCCAGCTCTGTTTTCACAATTCTGCTGTGTAAAATGTCTCACTACTCGCTAAATGTGAATGATGGTGGTGGGGAACTCCAAAACAAAACCCTAGTTTTCCTTAGGTATTAGTATTTTGTCCTTGAAGAATGCCTGAACATTTCGAAGTTTTGCACTCCTGCAGGAGAGGTCATTTGTCTTGTGTAGTGGCTTGTGTGCAGTTGCTGTGAAGACTTAAAAAGCATGTTGGTACAGCTAGATTTAGCTATCATCTTCACTCTTCAGAAGTGTTGGGCATTCAGCATCTCTGTACAGAGAAAATAATTTAAAAGTGGTACGAGCTATCCCTTATTGAGGACTGAGTTGCCTGTGTCAAGTTCCTAGTTGTTACCAAGTCTAGGAAAGAAGATGCTTTGAACTCCTGGTTTTAACCTTAAATCTTTTTAATTTTTCTCTTGAAATAAATCATATGGCAGTTGTTAGAGCACACGCTGAGTAGTTAAAACTCTTAATTATCTTCCTTAATTTAAGGGGTTCTCTGCTTTTTTTTATTATTAGAAATTTTGCAACTGTGTAACCTAGTCCTCATATACATGTCCTACCTTAAGAGTTATGCTTTTCTTCATCTCGGGCAAGACAGAGGGACTTTTCTGATACCTGCTAATTTAAGGAGGTGTGCTTGCTGGGATTGTAATCCAGGTCAGCTGGTCCACTGGTGACTGGTCAGGGAGCTGGGGAGGAATTGGCCTCCAGTTGTCTTGTATCTGTTACTACATCCCCCCTTCTGGTGTTGGGAGAGGGAGGTCTAGGGAAATCTAGCTGATGAGCAGTAGTAGGACAGAGGGCATGTATGCTTCAGTTCACTTTGGCAAAAAAGTCTGCCTTTTTGCCTCTTATGCTGCAGGAAGCAAATTCTTCACCAGCAGGAGAAAGGACAGTTGGTGAGAAGGCATTCATGCTATGAGAAACTTGTTAATATTTGAGGTTTCTGCTGAGGAATTGTATTGGGAGGAGCTGGATGAACTTTTTCACTTTCATAGTATCAGCTACAAAGAACTTTCTGTGGGAGAAAAATGTCTTAAATTTATTGCCACATGTGTATGGGCAATGTAGAAAGCCCACTGGGTGGAGTCCAGTGTTGTAGAATGGCAAGGGCACAGCCTTCAAAGTAAGATATGGCATTATACTGTAGGACCCTGAGCCCGAACAGAATGCCTGCTCATGATAGAAGTAGTTTTGCATAAGGACTGGATGAACTTGAATCCTTTCAAAACTGAGTAAAGATCTACAGGTCAGACAGACCAGCTGTCCTTTTTGAGATAACTGGATGGTACAGTGTATGATACCTCAGTTTGTCTAGTGGACACTGGAGCATGCCTCTGTACATAATGTTGAAGCCTATTTTACTGATTCTTATCAGAAGGTCATCAGAAAGCATGGAGCTGTTACTAGAGCCACAGTGCAGCTTAATATGAATTTAAAAACCCCACTCCTATCTCAGTTGAGATACGAGTGCAGAGAATCCATGATTGTAAGCATCTCTCTTAATGTGCATGTGTATGTCTGCTCATACTGCATACTGTCCTCATAGGAGCACTGTGAAGCTTCATTAAAGTTTCTAAAGTGCTTTATGATCCTCAGATGGAATGTGATCAGAAATAAAGTGTTTGTAATCAGATAAGTTAGTAGCACATAACAAGGATATAACCTATTAACACTAGCTTTTAACAGTGCTGTTAGCATCAGAAAGCTTAATGGTTAGATTTTGAAGTGCAATTGCCTTTTGAGAAGGGATGTGCAGATTTTGTATATGCTGTGTATTTTTGTGTTCTACTCCATTGTTTTCTGAACTACTGCGCTGCTGCTTCTTCCACAGTTTTGGTTGGGGATATGCTGCATCAAAAAAACAACACCCCACCACCCATCCAAACCAACCAATCAATAAAAAAACCCCAAACCAGAACTTCTTGTTAGCCATCTTAACCAATATGCCAATAGGAATAGATAATGAATGAGGTATGTTTCAGTTGGTAACTTAGTTGAAAAAAATTAAAATAAAAATTAAAGCATTTATTTAATTTATTTTTATATTAAAATAGGGTTTTTGAAGTTGCTTCCAAATAACATATTGAAGGAAATAAAACATCAGTAATTTTTACCTTGTCAAGTGGAGTCCATGGTCCTTTACAGAAGACAAGCTAGTCAAGGTAAACCTAGGCCCATAGCCCATACATTTTTAAGAGAATGCTAAATAACCCAAGATGTTTTATCCATGCTAGTTATTTAAGAATTGCCCATACTGGCCTCTCTATTTTTTTGTTTACTGATTATTTGCTTGTGTGTCCCCATCCCGTCCCGTCCCCATCCCCCCCCAATTTTCTGATTAAAAAAGCTTTGTGAATAGAACACTGAGAAGGTGAAATTTTATAGTGGTGATTTGCTTGATATACAGAAACTCAAGTGAGTGCTGGGTGCTTAAAGATCACAGTATTACCAACTCCTTGAAGTAGAAGCTTCCAGGACTTAAAAGTGGAGACCTGGCAAGCCCTACTGAAGTTAAGAGTATTTATAATGCTGAGTAAAACATTTTGGCTTTTTAGAGGGAGTAAAATTATCTGTAGCTTAGTGGATACTGTCATAGTCAGTGTGAAAATTTGTAGAACATACAGCTGCAATACTTATTTTTTCAGAGAGGGGATAGCTGTTTCATATATATGCTTATATATTTGCTTTTCAGAAATTTTGTGTAAATCAGATGCTTAGCAGTTGGTTTGGATTTTGTCTCTGGAATATTCAGAGCAATTGTGGTGTTCTCTTCGGGTCTCCCCACAGATAATGTTCCCTGAGATTTCACTACATTTCCTAAATTGCCACGTTTGGATTAGCCCTACCACAAAGCATGGCAAGCTGTTACATCCAGCAGGCCGATTCTCTGCTCTGGTTTAGATAGAGCAACCACAATAGCTAGCATCTAACTGCTTTTATTTCATTAAGTACCTGTAAATACAACCAGGCATCAGTTATTTCCAGAGTTTCATGAGCCTTCAGAGATAGGTGTAAGGGTGGTTGCAGTGCAGACTCTAGTCCTGCTGAAGAAATTCCCTCTGGGGGAATCCCCATTCAAGGGTTTCTGTACCTTACCATGAGGGTAGTAAGAGCAAAGTGTGTCAAAACCTGAGCCATATTAGCTATTCATAGCCTCCTGATGATTTTTTTTTTTTTTAAACAGTGTTTAGCCAATGACTTATGTAGTATGATAATATACAGTAACGTTTTTTATTTGTATTCATAAGATGTGCAACTTCTGCCTCCCTGAACTTAATTCCTATTGAGTGCCCTCCTGTGAATTTTCAAGTTCATTTCATTTGGTGGTCGTTTTTCACTGCTAGTCTGGTCTGGTTTACTTTCAACATAGTTATAGTTCAAAACTACAGAATTAAAAATGTGTGTATTTTAAGGGTTCAATCCTGAGGGTGCTCCTGCGAGCTTGCCAAACTGCTGTCAGTTATGGGATGGGGCACGGTTCTGTTACATACTCAGTTTGAGCATTTGCTACCTATGTTGGGCTGACTCGGGAGCAAGCCTTCTCATAGCAGATTCATGCTCATGTTACCATATTCTATTTCTGAACTATGTTCCTTTCTGTTTCAGCACATTCAAGGTAATGTCTGGAAACATCCTGCAGATTTCTTTTATGTTGCAGCATGTTGCGATTCTCTTTCAACTGCTCGAGCATTTATCTATGGAAATTGTCGGAAGAGACTATCAAGTGTCTGCTTAACGATTGAGTTGCAGCCTGAGACTGAAAAAGGTCAAGGCAGTAAGAGAGACCGAATTTGCTCTGCTGTCCTGCAGGTGATCCTGCCTCTGAACCTGGATTTCAGGTTGATGTGTTCATGTCATGTAGGCAGTCCGGTTACAGACTGGATTGATTGCGGAGTGAAGTTGTTCTTGTCTTTGAATCAGGATGGGGCAGTACTTAAAAAATTTGGTTCGCTCTCGAGGTTAGCGCTAGGGTCATGTGTTCCCCCGGTGCACCGCGGAAGAGTGCGTGTGGCTAGTGGGACTTACACATTCCATCATTCACCGTTTATTGGCTCTGCAAACTTAATGTAGAATTAGCATAATTGGTTGCTTGCTTTTTAGCTAGTTTTAAAGAGGAAGGCTCCAGCTGAGTCCTCTATTTTCTCATGGCTCACCTATTTTACCCTTTCTGTGTATTGCCTCTGCGTGACGAACGGGGAAGGAGCAAGCGGGTGGAGAGGGCGTTAGAGCGGCGTTGCTTGGCGGGGAGAAGTTGGCCCCCGCTCGAGGCGGGCGCTGTCCCTTTAAGGCGGGATGTAGGCCGGCCCCGTCTGGTGATTGACAGCCTGTGTCGAGTCACATGACGTGCCTCTATTTGAAGGTCACAAAAAAGCTTCTTCCTTTAGAGAGAGCAAGAGGGAGAGAGAGGGAGGGAGAGAGAGTGAGGGAGTTCAAGCCAAAATGGCCGACAGAGTCTCTGCTGATTTCTGAACATTTGAAATAAAAACAAAAAGCGAAACAAACAAAATCATTTTTGGATTTTTTTCATTTCCATTTCTACCTTGTATGCCTCAACTCGCTGGATTTAAGCACTGCTGCACTTTATGAGGTTAGTGGTATATTTATGTTTTATTACTGTTTTTACCTATCAGATTTTGGAGAGACTGGAGCTGACCGTTTTCATCCTTGGTTTTGCAGAGGTGCTTTTTCTAACACGAATACTTGCTTCAGATGTTATCTGGTTTTATGCGTAAAGCACTTTTAGAGGATTTTTAGGGCTTTTTTAGAAGGAGGTCTCCTTGGAAGTGTATTGTGGATTTTGAAGAAATTTGTAATTTAAAACACTTAGGCAAATTGCAGACGATCGGTTGTATTCCAAGGTGGTGAAGTACAAGATAGTACCGAAAATCCTGTTTTATTTAAATAGAGGCTTTTTAAACAGTGATTTCTTCCCCACAGCACCCCAAGCTCTTAAATCTGCTGCAAAAATTTGCATATATAAAAATGGGTTTGCATTTTTTCTGCTGCTGGGTCCGACGAGGGACAGATGGGGAAGTGTTCTCACCGGGCTGTCCTTCCCAGAGAGAAAGGAAACAAACCCTACCATCGCGCACCCAAACACTTGCAGTGCTGGGAGCGGGCGGGGGGGCCGGGGGTGCGGGGACGCCCGCGCCGGCCCACCCAGCAGCCCAGGGCGCTCACGGCGGCCGCCGGCTCC